GACCTGCTCTTGAGACCTTGCCTTGTCTGGCTTTTGGTTCGGCCAGTTTGTGAGATATGGGCCAACATCTAATGTAACAAAGCAGATTTCAGTTCCTTCCTCTTCTCTGCTGCAAGCAGTGAGGTAAAGAAGCAACCTGTGCCCCAGCATTCCAAGTGATCAGCTTAGACTGCAGCATGCAAATGAAAAGGCAGCACGTTTAAGTGGGGAGGTGGGTGTTTTTAGCGATGTTACGCTAACCTGTGGGACTCCCTGCTGCAGGTCCTAGAGATAAGCAATTAAAAAGCCAGTGGTTAGAATACTGCGGTAGGACTCAGGCTTCCACTGACCTACTGGGTGACCTAGGGCAAATGGTTGCCATGCTCTATGCCTCAGTTTCCCCTAATGATGCTGACCTACTTCCTAAAGTGTTTTGTTGCACAAGGACTCGGCTTGTCTCGGAGCTGCAAGCACAGTTGACTAACGGCTCTCAGGGCTAAACGCTGTACAAGGGCTCAGTATTCTAGATCTGCCACTGGAGGAGGAATTGTTCGTGCGGCTTTCTTGCGCTGGTTGAAGATGCTAGTCCGACTTGGTTCTCCCTGTCTACCGGGCAGGAGCACTCAGCAGGCTTTCAGAAGGGCAAGCGCTGACAGGGCATCGCTTTTCTGAACCACAGATGAGGGTGGCCCCTACGAGGCAGGGCAGTATTGCAAAGACAGCCAGTGCCCTGCTGCCGGTTATAACTAGGGATATGAGAGGCTAACCAGTAAGCATCACCCTTAATGGCAGGGGGCTGCTCCAGCCCCATGGTGCTGTCTGCACACTGGGCTTCTCTGGCCGTGGAGAGCAGCCCCTGCCTGCAGCGAGCCTGGGCAGGAGGCCCAGGTGGGCAGGACGCCTCTCCGGTCCAGGCACACTGTGTGTGGGGGGGGAGGGGGAGGGTGTCCCCTCCAGCCCTCCTTTCAATGGGTTAACTGCAATTTTACATCCATTTTTATAGCCCATGATCATGTTCTTTCCTCCCCCTTCTTCTCTGGCCGTGGAGAGCAGCCCCTGCCTGCAGCGAGCCTGGGCAGGAGGCCCAGGTGGGCAGGACGCCTCTCCGGTCCAGGCACACTGTGTGTGGGGGGGGAGGGGGAGGGTGTCCCCTCCAGCCCTCCTTTCAATGGGTTAACTGCAATTTTACATCCATTTTTATAGCCCATGATCATGTTCTTTCCTCCCCCTTGGTACGTCAGTCAGCAAAAACCTGAAGCAGTCGGCCCTTTTCCACTTGCTACTGCAGGAAGCTGGGCTCTTCACACATGCCAGACCCATAGGGTGGCTTTTAATCCAGCAGCTTCCTCTTTGTCACCATCAGTTGTGCCCCAGCTGTGCCAGCTTCCTCTTGGTCTGCATGTGAGGCTGGTTGGACCTGCTGAGGCAACTCGTCCCTCCTTGGTTCCCGGGTTCTAAAAGCTCAGATGGCTGGTTAGGGTTCAGCCAGTGGCTCTTGCATGTCACATGGAAATGGAGCTGTGGGATAGAAGAGGGAGTTGCCCTAGATCACTTAGCAGGTCAGTGGCATGCTGGGAAGGGAAGCCAGGATCTGAGGCCTTGTCTGGACTTCAGCTGGAGTTTGCTGCTTGCCAGCTCTTTTTTCTCCCTTTGGCATGGCGAGGCATGGAGGAGCAATGGAAAACAATGGTCAAGCTTATTCCAGCAGAATAGCGCCCCCTAGGGCTGTGCATGGAAGCTAGTCTCTAAGCCAGTGTTTCTTAAAATGTTCCGTGGTGCACTGGTGTGCTTCGGGGAACAACAGAAATCAAAATGGCCACCTTTAAAGGGGCAGGCAACCTTTTTTTCCTTAACTTCCTCCTAACCCTTTTTCTCCCGACTTTTTTTTTTTTTTTTGGCTCAACAAAAAATCCTTGGTGTTCCTCCTCATAAAAAAAATTGTTTGGTGTTCCTTCGTCTTAAAAAGTTTAAGCAACACTGCTCTAAGCTAAGCTGAATCCCAGCTGGGTACTGCATAGCATGGGGGACGGGGGGAAGATGTTTGGCCCTGCGCTCACTTCCCACTGTTTGTAGAAGCTGTGTCAGGCCAGGGAGGCAAAGCCCCATGAAGGTAGGGTGGTTAGAGGACTCCTGCAGTGGCAAAATGGATAAGGTACCTGCCTCTGGAGCCCGGCGATGCCGGCGCAGGAAGCTGGTGGTGGCTGAGGGTTGGAGTCCCACCCATGCTGGGGTCAGCCACCGCCAGCTTCCGGAGGGATTCCTCCCGTTGCCAAGTGTTCCCCCTTCCCTCCCCCCCCCCTTCGTTTGGTGGAAGTCCCTTCCCCAGCCGGAGGGGCAAATGTGCTTCGCAAGCTGATGTAGCGAGTCCGCAGCTGAGCGGGGAATCCTTCTCAAAGCTCCTGCCTCTGGTCCCTCTGCTCGGGTCCACCGCCCACCTCCCTCCCATGCCGACAGCCTCCTGCAGAATGAACTGGGCTCCAAGGCAAGGCCCCAGGCTCACTGCTGACCTGTCCTTTGCGTTGCCAGGAGACCCACAAGCTGTACAAGCAGAAGCTCGAGGAACTGACCAAGCTGCAGGATGGGATCTCCAGCTCCATTGCACGGCAGAAGAAGCAGCTGAAGGAGCTGTCTCTGGCCTTCAAAAAGTAAGGAGCCCCATGGAGCAGTATAAGGAGAGCCCTGGTCGGAGGCGGGAGCCGAGTGAGCGGCGTTCCTGCGCTCTGGGGTGCGGATGGGCTAAGAACAGCTGGGGTAGGTGAATCGTGAGGGCGTGTAGGATGAAGGCGCTATAGCTGCTCTCAGACCCTCCCTTCGTTCCTCCAGTAGTTGCTTCGCCCCTTACCCACATTAACTGTAAGCGCTTCTGAGGGCTTCCCAACACGGAGCCTTCTCAGAATTTCCCCTCAGCCCTAGGCTCACTGTCATGGCTGCCGGGTTAGACCATGTGGCTGCTCGTTCAGGTTGGCTCCGTGCTGCTTGCTCTCCACCTCGGTCCCATTCTGAACCCGGGGGGGAAGAGCCAGCGCCCAGGCCTTCTCTCCACTGCAGTTCTGAACGGCCCTCGTCTCCAGCTGCGTGGCCGCATTACATGGCAGCAGCTGTGGGTCCTTGGTGTCTGACCACGTCCCGTTCTTTCCCCAGCTGCAAGTCCACGACCACTGCCGAACAGGAGGAGTCCATCCGGGAGATCGAGGGCCTCATCAAGGAGCGGCAGAGCGTCTTCTTTGAGATGGAGGCCTACTTGCCAAAGAAGAATGGGTAAGAAGCTGTTGAGATCGTGATGTGGCTGTGGGGCCTTAGCAAAGGACGGGAGCGTTGGATGTCTCTGCAGGGATTGCTTGGGTTGCTGGTGACAACGCGCCTGCCTCAGGTGTGACGCCAGCAGGGTGTCCGGGAAAGGCCTGGTACGCACTGGCACTACTTCCTGGCTTGCGTTCAGCCTCCTGGCTCGGGGGGCTGCAGCGGAACCACGTGCTACCAGTTCCAAGTCAGAGTAGAGCCCCTGGGACTGGCTTCCTGGCCCAGCAGTGTCTGTGCATCTCTTGAGCACACAGAGTTCACTGGCCTGGCCCAGGGCCTAGTGGCCTGGCCCCTGCTGGCTGGGCGAGGTGGCGGGGGGACACAGCAGGAGCCTGCCTGACCCCTGCCTCCGTGAGTGTGGGACCAAGGCCCGAAGGTGTCAGCCCCAGGCCAGGGGCAGCCCTAGCGACCCCGTTCCGATGGAGTCGTGACCCGCCGCTTCAGAACCGCTGCTCTCGGGCAACGCCCTCCCCTCAGTGCAGTACAGCACGGGGGCAGGGGTGAGCCGTGTACTCAGCCAGACGGCTGTGGGTCCTGGCCAGCGCCCCTGCAGAGGGGCTGACAGATGAAGATCGAATGCCGCGTGAGCACAGGGGAGCCCGGCGCTGGAGCCTGTCCAGTGTGTGTGGGTGTGGGTGGTAGCAACGCCTGAGCTGCTCCGCAGGGCCCGTTTCCAGTTGGGATGCACATGCTGCCCTGGAACCGCCAGGCGGCGGGTCCCCGCCCCAGCAGGCTGCTCCGCGCCTCCCGTGTGGTCTCACTGCTCCTTCCGTTCCCCTCTAGGCTGTACCTGAGTCTGGTGCTTGGAAACGTGAACGTGACTCTGCTCAGCAAGCAGGCTAAGTAATGCACCCCCCTCCCCTCCCTCTGTGCAGCTGCGTGCAGGCTGTGGAAGTCCCTCCCCTCGGGCAGGCGGCGTGTCTTCTGCCAGCGTGGGAGCTTGGCTGCCCACTGAGCTCTCTTCCCAATCCTCCCCGTGTGCCGAGAACCTCTCCCTCCGGCAGGCGGCGCATCCTGCCAACCCAGCCCTCGACTTAACCTCGCCCATGTGACTCTCTTGCCCGACCGAGCCGCTCTGCCGCCGCTGGCAGGGGTCTGTAGGCCCAGGCTCAATGGGAGACCTGCCAGGAAAGCAGGCTTTGCAGCTCGGTAGGCGCCAGGATTGGGGGATGGAGCCCGGGGTTGCTCTTAGGACAGATGGTGCCATGTGGGGACGTGAGCCAAGACTTGCTCAACCCACAGCCCTTCACTGTTCCTTGCAGCATCTTGGGTCTCTCGCCTGCAACCCTGCCAGATGCTCATCCAAGCTGGTCGCTCAGCTCTCCCCAGCGGCTCTGTGTAGCTGGGGACGGTGGCCCCTGGTCACCTGGAGACGTGGGGCTCATTCCCCGCCCACCACGACCCTCCGCTGTGCTTCCCTACAGGTTTGCCTACAAAGACGAGTATGAGAAGTTCAAGCTCTACCTCACCATCATCCTGCTCATCATCTCCTCCTCCTGCCGCTTCCTTTTCAACTCCAGGTGAGGCTGTAGCAGGGAGACGCTCTCAGGAACAGCCCAGCCCTGGGTGGCAGCTCACGCGGGCCTCTCGCCTCGGGCAGCTGCTGCCTGGGCTGCCCTCTCCAAATGAGGGCACCCAAACTGCAGACGGCTGAGCGGGAACAGGTAACAAGAGCTTGAAGGGCAACGTTCCCCTGGGCCAGGCTTGGATCCAGTTCCCAGGTGCGGGTTGCCCGTAGGTGTCTGGTGTTGGTTGAGGATGGCCGGCCACGGGGCACACTGCCCACCTGGGGGAGCCCTTGCACTGCTGAACAAGGCTCTGCCATTCCCCCCCGGGATGTTCCCCGTGTCTGCTTGGCAAAGCGTTCGGATCTCGCCCAAGACGGAAGGAATGCGGCAGCCGAGGGGCCCGACGGCGTGTGGCCTGGAACGGGCGTGGGGAGCGGGACTCTCGGGCGAACCTGCAGCCCACTCAGACCGGGATGGCTGGGCCTGTCGCAGCCCCTGGCTTCATGTGAGGGGCCGCCACGCCCTCCAGGTGACTGGAGCTGCTCCCACGGAGACCAGCGCTGAGGCGCAAAGCTGCTGCCAGAGGCACAGGCGGCAGCCTTGCTCTGCGCATGGGCCGCAGCTGGGCACCCCTGCACGGGGACATTCAGACCAGCCCTCTTGTCTGGTCCCTGCCCTGCTTCCCCCCTTCACTGCCTGCTTGGTCTGGGACAGGGTGACGGACGCCGTCTTCAACTTCCTGCTGGTCTGGTACTACTGCACCCTCACCATCCGCGAGAGCATCTTGATCACCAACGGGTCCAGGTGAGCCCGCTGGGCCCAGCCCCGGCCAGGGGCAGCACGCAGGCTGAGCAGACAGCAGCCAGCTGCCTTAGCCTCTGCTCCTAGAGCCGCAGTTGGCTCAGTATTGTGGGGTGCTCGCGGGGGAGTCTCGGGCGAGACCATGGCAGGGAGACTCACCGCAGGGGCGGTGCTTACAGCCTGGGCACAGCAGTCACTGCTTTGTGCCGCACGTGGGTGGGCTCTCCTCGTGCCAGCTAACTCCCTGCCCTGGCCCTCTTTGCGTCCTGCTCCTTGCGAGCTGGGGGGGGCTGATGGCCTGTCTTCCTTAGCCTGCCCTCCCTTGTGCCCCCCGGTTGGGTGATTCATCCTGGCTCCCTCTTCTCTGCTCCCCAGGATCAAAGGCTGGTGGGTTTTCCATCACTACGTCTCCACCTTCCTCTCGGGCGTCATGCTGACTTGGTGAGTCTCCATCTCCGCCCAGCAGGGAGATCTCCTGACTCGCGGAGGGTGGGCTTCCCCGGACCGGTCCTTGCCAGCCACCCTGCCCCCACATGGGGTTACTGCAGCCCCTGGGGCACCAAGGAGCTGCCAGGGGTCTGTGACACACTCTCCCCCCTTTTGTCTGTGTGGCCAAGGCACCGCAGGACCCTGCTGGGTAAGTCCAGTGCCAACTGCACTTCCAGCCCTTCTGCCTGTGGGGCAAGAGGGGTCCAGCTGCAGAGCCTGGCCCTCTGAAGCCCCAGCAAGGTGCCTGGGCTGGCGTTTGCCTCTGGGGACACCGCTGCCCTGCACCGGGGGCTAAAACCCGTAGGGCCCCGCATGCCCTATCTGGGGAGCTTCTCCAGCCCATGTCTCCTCCCACAGGCCGGACGGGCTCATGTACCAGAAGTTCCGGAACCAGTTCCTCTCCTTCTCCATGTACCAGAGTGAGTGTCCGGGCCGGAGGCAAGCTGGGCTCCTTCACTGGGCTGGGGAAGCCCTGGCTGCTTGGAACAGCGTCCCGCTCCTGAGAGCCGGTGTCTCGGCCACCCCGTCTGGTACCACAGCACTTGCCAGGGGCTCTTTGCTGGGCCTGAAAGGGCCCCAAGCCAGACACAGTTTCTCCTCCCGAGCGCTGCTGCAGGCTCAGCTGGACTGGGCAGTCAGGGAGGCAGCAGGTGGGGGGCTGCCTGGTGCAGAGATGGCTGCTGGCAGCTGGCAGCCCCTCCTGCCCGTTGGGCCTCAGACGGCGCCCTGGCACCACAAGCATGGACCGCTCCTGGCTGTCAGCAGGGCTGGTGCTTTTCACCTCCCTCCCTCCCTGCAGAGGCCCAAAGGCCCTTCCCCAGCTCTCGCTCCTGTGCCCATCTGGGCTAAGCCAGGGTGGCTGGGTCCTGCCTGGCAGCTGCGCCCCTTTGCAGGCTGACGCTCCTCTCCCCGCAGGCTTCGTGCAGTTCCTGCAGTACTACTACCAGAGCGGCTGCCTGTACCGGCTGAGGACGCTGGGGGAGAGGCACAACATGGATCTCACTGTGGGTAAGTTGCCACCCCGCCGGGACCCCACTGTTCTCACTGTGGCACTCAGCTGGCTCGGGGCTGGGCGCGCAGGTAGCGCTCCCCGCGCTGGGGGTACAGCCCGAGAGAGAGGCGCGTGGGCTGGGCTGTCCCACATATCCTGGCCTCCCTGGGGCTGCTGCCCGAGTCCTTGTTTAGCCTGTCGCTCTCCTGGCTGCTGCACCGGGGCAGGGGCCCTGGCAATGGTGCATTAAGGGAGATGTTTTCTGGCCACTCTGCAGGGCAGCGGAACTACAACTCCCATGAGGCCCTGGCCCCCATGGGTGTGGACTGACTTGGGTTCCTTGTGAAATAGCAACATTTTCCGCAAACCAGTTTCCTTTGGGCAAGAAGCTGAGAGCAGCCTGTTAACTCCCCCGCGTGCCACACGTACCAAGGTGCTGCTTGCCCAAGAGCGGCTGGCTGTCCTGGCCACGCTGGTGGGCTCCTCAGGAACACCAGGGGGGCTCCACCTGCTTTGGGTCCGTGGCTGCTGGTGCTGGCTGCACGCAAGCCCCCTGCTCAGCGCTGCTGCGTTGTGAGGCACGGAGCCGCCTGGCCAAGTCCCTGGGGCGCTTTCGAAGGACCTGTGCTCTGTCTCCTCGCTGCAGAGGGCTTCCAGTCCTGGATGTGGAGGGGCCTCACGTTCTTGCTGCCGTTCCTCTTCTTTGGCCAGGTGAGCGTGCGCCGGCCGCCTTGGGCGAGGGGCCTGGCCTTGCCAGGAGCCAGCTGGCCCTAGTGGTGCTTGCTGGCTCCTTATCCCGTCAGCCGTGGCGCCTGATGAGAGATGTGGGGGCTGGAGTCATGGCCGGGCTGGTAGCAGCCAGGCGCCAGTAGAGGCGGGAGCCTGGGCCATGTTGGTGAGAGCAGAGCTGGCATCTTGCCACTGTGGGGACCTGGAGCGTGTGCGCTACGGCGCCCGGCTGGCCCCTGCGGGTGGAGATGTGCACGAAGCAAGGCTCCTGGGCTCCTTTACCTGCACTGGCTCGACGACCCCGGCTCTTGCATAGTGAGTTGGGGTTTGCAGAGGCGGAGCCACCCCACCTGGGTAACAGGGTGGGGTCCTGGTGCGCTGAGTGCCCGGGGCTCAGCTGCTGGGACTGGCCTGACCCCCGGCTGTGCTGGGGCGCATCTCACACAAAGGTGACCCTCTTCCCCAATCCCTTCTCTTTCCTGGAGTTCCTGCAGCTTTACAACGCGATCACCCTCTTCCAGCTGGCCAGACACCCGCAGTGCAAGGAGTGGCAGGTGAGCGAGCAGCTCGGCAAAGGGACGGCGGAGGGAGGTTGTGCAGGGTGGCAGAGGATGCTGTGGAAAGCCCCTTCCCCCCAGCAGCCACGTCAGTGCATGGCTGCCCAAGACTCCCCTGGCCAGAGGGAAATCGCAGGATTTGCTGGGGCTGTTGCTGACTTGTCTGGGGCCCTTGTAGCTGGAGTCTGGTTGCCTGGCTTCCTCCTACCACTCTTAGGGGCGTCCGACCGCGCTGAGGGGCAAAGGCAGGGACGAGCTCAGTCCAGCCCCAGGCAGGAAGGGTCTTGGCCCCATGCGGCCTCGCTGGCTCTGCGTTAATTCGTGTCTCCCGTCCCACTCTCAGGTGCTCATGTGTGGACTCCCCTTCTTTGTCCTCTTTGTGGGGAATTTCTTCACCACCCTGCGGGTTGTCCACCAGAAATTCCAGTGCCAGAACCGAGAGGCCAAGGCCAAGTGAGACGAGGCGCCGCTGCTGAGACGAAGGGGCTCTCCCTCCACCCCGCTGTCCCCTCACCGCACACCAGGCTGTACCGGCCGCCTCTCCTCACCCTGGAGCATGCGCCTGTTGCTCCCCGGCAGGCCCCGCGGGACGGGCCAGCCAGCGCCTCTCAGGGGAATGCATGCGACCCAGTGACTCCCGCAGCTGCAGGCCGAGGCTCACAGCCAGTCCTGACCCCTGGCAACGCTGCCTTCGGGGGGGAGTCACGAGGATCAGACAGTCTCCCCCGAGGGCACTGTGGCCAGGCAGTTACAGTCCTACTCTACCCTCTTCCCCCTTTGCTCCAGGGATGGGCTGACTAGCGCAGCTACCTCCACACACAGCGGTTAAGCTGCCCCCTTTCACGGGGTCAGGCCAAAGCACTACCACGAACACCACACTAGCTCCACGCTTCCCTTTGCAAGCAAGGGGCGAACAGCGTCTCCTGCTCTGTGCCCCCGGGAGCACAGCCGGGCCTGAGGGGTAGGGAACAGCCCTCAGCCTGGCCTTGTTCCATGCTCCCTGTCCCCGGCAGAGCAAACATCTCAGCAACTCCCACTTGTGGCACCCTCTCCGCTGCATGGCCGCAAGCTCCTTCCCGCCGCATCCCTGGGAGAAGGGCTGGGCCTGGCCCAATGGCCGCTGGGCGAGCAGAGCTCTCCAGTCATGTCATGGCTTCCCGCAGGCCTGGCTCTTCTGCCACTGGAAACAGCCAGTTCTAGCCTCTTGTCCACAGGATGCGTCCAGGCTCCTGGAAGTGGGGCACCCTAATTTCCCAGCCTTCTACCTCCCAACTTGCAGTAGCAGGGGGCAGGAGCAGCTACAAAGGAAGGAAATTGCAGCACTGGTGCTAGGCTGTCGCTTAGCTGCTGGAGCTCTGGCGCACTTGGCTGAACGTGCTCAGGGCTGGCTTCCCCGGGGAGCAGCATCCTGCCATCTGCCAAGGAGCTTCAGGTTGGGGCAGGTGTCCTGGAGGGAGCTGTTGTACCTGTGTGAATGTCTGGGCCTCCTTTGACAGGGAGCTCATCCAAATAAAGGGAGGCAGGGGAGATCCCCTCCCTGAGCTCTCTGACCCTGGCTGCTCTTAATCCTCCGGGGTGTCGGGGAGGGGAGGGGGGGGCGAGAGGTACTGAGGGGTAATGGGCGTTGCTTAAGGTTGCTTCGCTACGCTGCTGAAAGGCAGCCGGAGGAGGAAGAGACGCCACGGGGGCTGGCAGGGAAGGGCTCTGTGCAGAGCCTCAGTGCTGTTCTGCTTTGCAAACCACCTGCTACTGGGGAAAAATGCCCCTGGTAGCCAGCCCAGCCTTGCACCAAGAGGGCCAGCCTAGGGCCATGTGGAGATGGGGCTGGGTTCTTAAGAGGAGAGTAGAAGTAACCACTGAGGGAGCTGGGCCTGGAGCATGCACAGGGGCAGCTGCAGCTGGGCTTTCCCCTGCTAGTGCCACTCCCTGGAGCAGCAAGGCTGGGCTGTGCACTGGCTGCTGCTGCCTTGCTGCTGTCAGCCACGCACAGCTGGATACCCCAGCATCAGGCTGCTCAGCCAGGGTGCAGACCAGAGCTTATTTTTTCACAGTGCAATTACATCCTGTTTTCCCACAGCCTTTACACTGGAGGCCAGAGCGCAGGGCAGGGAGAGCCTGAGCAGGGCTGAGCCGCCGTTCCAGCCAGCCAGAGCCCTGCTGGGCTGGAGGGGCCCGCCTGCATGGGGACTGCAGCAGTAGAGCCCCCTGGGGAGTAGAGCCACAATGCGCTTGGGCTCCCTTTCCTCTTGTGGCCTGTGCCACTGGCCTGCCCCTGGGAAGGGAGCAACCCCTGAACTGACTTGCCCAAGTCAGGGAGCTGGTTCCCAAACTAGCTGCTGGAACTCTAGGGTGGGGATCCCCTTTGAGCCTGCTGTTCCCACCCCCCTTGGCACAGAGGTCGTGGTGGGGCTGCTTCGGGCTGCCTGCTGCTCTGGCCTCTGGGGCCACTTCTCTCGGAAATGAAATGAGGCAACTGAGCTGGAGGCAAAATAAAGACCCTACTTTATTCCAAGGGGACCGTCTCTACCATTATTTACAGTCATTGGACAGGCGGACGGGCAGCGCAGCCAAGAGCCCAAAGCCTGGCCAAGCTGCCCACAGGCGTCAGGCCACCTCACTGCTCAGTCACGCCCCCCCCCCCCACCGCGTGCTAGGGCAGATGGCAACCTGGCCTCCTGCTGGGGACACAGCCCCTTGCACAGGAGGCTTCCCCATCGCCACACCCATCAGCCCCTGCCCCACAGGCCCCTCGCAGCACCAGAGACGAGTCCCGGCCCTGGGTGCCACTTTGCTCGGCCCTGCAGGTGAGTGAGTGTGTTAGGGCCCGAGCCCACCATGGTTCTGCCCCTGTGCTGCCTGGGGAACCAGAGCGAGGCCCCGCTGGGCTGGGACTTGAGTTAAGCCACTGCTGGGTGGCCCTGCCTTGCGCCTGCCAAGGTTACTGCCCATGGGCGTCAGGCTGAGGAGAGCTGCGTTCCAGCTACACGCCAGGCCAAGCAGGCTCAGGAACAAGTCTCTGGCCCAACTCTCCCTGGACACCCGTGGGCTCCTAGCCAGACCCCACCAGGGTCCCAGCAGGGTGGGCTGGCTGGAGTCTCACACAGCGCTGGCTCGGGGTCTGGTTGCAGGCCACCAGGACCGGACCTGCTTTGCCCAGGAGACCAGCCAGCAGCTCGTGCTGGAAGTCGCAAGAGGTAAGGGAGAGACCTGGGAGAACCCCAACACTCCTGCTGCCTGGCCAGGGAGAAAGGCCCAGTCTGTGATACGCTGCCCTCCCCAGCACTGGTAAAAGCCCCAATGCCTGCAGGGGCCAGGTCTGGAGCACAGCTTGGCTGGCAAGCAGAGGGGACAGACCCCCCCATTCACTGGCCTTGCATCAAGGCCTGGTCTCTTAGTTCCCAAGGTGAGCTCTCCCCGAGCCCCAGGGGATTCCAGCAGCCACTGCCTCGGCATTGCAAGGCTCTCGTCAGCAGGGGTGGGGGGGGGCACAGAGGGGCGATTACCAGGGAGGGGATCTAAGGGTTAGTTTAGTTTCAGTGGCACATTCTTGCAGTGGCTGGGGCACCTTCCTCTCCCCCAGCCGGAAGCCCGGCTTAGCTCCACACGTCCAAGGAGTAGCGGCCCTTGGTCATCAGTTTCTTTACATAGTCCACAGCCTGGGGCTGGGTCATGCTCCCGAACTCAGCCACGATCTCGTAGAAGGCGTTCTGCACGTCCCGCGCCATGTTGCGCGCGTCGCTGCAACGACAGGAGCAGAGTGCGGAGGTGAGCGAGGGCAGGGGTCTTGACAAAGGCTATTGGGCAAGCCTGTGGCAGAGCTCCGGGAATGGGGGCCAACAATGAGAACCCCAATTACCCGCAATGGCCACCTCTCCCTCCCCAGGGCACTCAGATTGCTTCAGTAAGAGCTAAGCTCTCCCCAGTAGAGTTCAGTGCTCCCCTCAGGCAAGTGTCTCCAGAACACTAGGCCTGATGGGGCACTGCCTGAGCCAGCAGCCCATTGCCTGGGGAGCTGCTGAAAGACCCCCCACCCTCCCCATTCCCAGCCCCCCTTAAGGCCCTTCCCCAGGGATGCTGCCATGCTCTCTCACCTGCCCAAGTCGTGGCTGTGTTGGGGGCTGTACATAGAGGTTTATAATCTACAGGCGGAGAGCAGGAAGGGAAGAGACTGGCCACAGTCACAGGCAGAGCCAGGGCCAGAACCCAGGGCTCCCATGTCCCAGCCCAGCACCCCAGCCTCTGGGCTGTGCCACCTGCCGGCCGGCCTCACGCCCGGACACCGTGCAGTGACGGTACTGGGGCTCCCAGCCTAGGCCAGGATAGGCACTGCTGGCTCCGCCCCCTCTGGAGCACCGGCCCCATGCATGGGCGAGTCAAGAGCTTGGCTCCTCCCCTTTCACACATGGAGCACCAATGAGTCCCCGGGGCTGTTTAAAAGCATGAGTCCAGATCGAGGTTCAAGGTTCCTGGAAAGGGGCCAACAAGAGCCCCAAGTGACCCCCCAGCCCAGCCTGCCCGGTGCCCTGCAGCCCGGGAAGCCGGGGCAGCTGGGCTGGCCTTACCCGCACACGTAGATGTGAGCGTTCCCCTCGTGGATCAGCCTCCAGACCCCCTCCTTGTTTCTCTTCAGCAGGTGCTGAACGTAGACCTGGCAGGACAGAGCCAGCTGGGTTCAGCACAGGGGGAAGGGAGCCGCATGGCCACCCTGCGCCCAGCTCTGGGAGCAGGGAGCCGGCTGCTTCCTCC